TTGATGCGGGAAGGCAGTGTGCTCGGAGTGGACTGTACCTAGTGGTGGTGATATTGTCAATGGTTGTGTTCTGCGCTCTGGTTCTCAGTTTGGTTCCTGCTGTGTTTGTAGTGGCTGCTGGGCCTGACGAGGATGAGGATGGCAAGCGCCTGAGTGTGCAAAGTGTCCTGTCTAGGATCTTTTACAGTTAATACACAAAATTCATTGGGTTGACTCAAGGGAAACAATACACTTGAAATCTATGTGTTTCTTTGCCCTAATGGTACACATGGCACATATTTTTCTTCAGGAGTTTGAATTCTCCCTCCCCCTCAATACTAAAGAACACTTTGGATAATCTCGCAATGAAAAGAAACAGTTTAGACTTCACCAAGTGTAGCTTGTCTTGGCTCCTCTAGCATCAGCTGTTCCTGTTCATCAACTTCAATCATCTCAGCGAGAACTGTGGCTATCAACAGTGTGGTGAACTAAAGAGGGAATCGCAGAGCTGTGCTGAAGATCTTGTGGGTTCTCTCCCATGCTCGGCAATACCATCTTCCCAGTTATAGAGGCTCAAAGTCCTAGAAGTCCCTTCAGCCTTGGTTTCTATGTCCTGATGAGAGAATGGAACTATACTATGAGCAGGTTTCTTTTAATTCTTAGACTGCTGATTGGAGAACAAGATTACTGCCCAGTTTGAGAATTCATGTGTGTCTTAGTGTAAGACAAGATCACCAATGGGAAATGTAATCACTATTATAAAGCTTGATATTAGAAGTTCTCCCCTGAGTTCAGCAGACTGGACAACAAAGTCCACCATTTCTGAAGAATCCATGTGGAATGCACAGGTCTACTTGTGAGATTTGTACCTTTCTGCCTCGATGTTAGCTGAGCTTCTCCTTCCAGAATACAAAAAGCTAGGTGCTTCAATACCCAACACACACGGTTCTGCTTCCAGGACAAGCATTATAAAAAGACCTATTTGACACGTGTCCTTGAGGCCTTCTCATATGGGAACCATCTCATGATTATGCTGAAGGATTTGGCCCCCAAACCTGAAAGTTCTCTAAAAAGCCACTTTCATCTTCACTTCAGGAGAAAGAAAAGCAGACATCTCATTCTAGAAGAGACTAAGGGTTCCATCTTGATATTTGCAATCTGGCCACAGGCATGGACGCTGAGCAGGCTCAAAGGAGCAGGTCTACAGTCTTCTGGCCTTGATTTAGCTTTTTACTTTCTTTAAAACTTAGAACCTCAACTTAAGGTAGGCTACAAAGTTCACTGAAAACTCCAAACACCACCCGTCCTGGGAAGCCCACTGGACCCAGGTTGTTTGGCTCCATTTGTAGAGAACCCTCAAACATTGTACACATGCACATAGGCTCTGTGGGATGACGGAACCTCATCAAGGAGCAAACTTGCAGAGTTCAAAGGAAGTACATCCTTTCTTCAGACTAAGAAACAAAACAAATTATCAAGAACTAATGGCCTTTATTAAAGTCAACTGTTGAATGGGCACACAATTAGAAGATAAGAAACTAGAATGAATGACCAAATGTTAATGGATTTGAAAACAAATATTCATTTCCAAAAACAGAAATAATTCATTTTGGGAGGAAACAACATGTTACCAAAACATCCAGAGAGAAACAAAGCAGAGCAATACAACTGAAGAAGAAATGAAGAACACAGAAGAATTTAATACGATATTGCACAAGACAATACTTGGAGAGTTTCTGGTTAGTTAGAGAAACTTTGCTGGCAGAGGTAAACTGAGGGCGTCTTAGGAGTGTAGGGATTTTCCTTCTGCCTTTCTTATAGTGATAGATGGCATCTAAAAAGCCAGACAGCCCCCGCCTACTCCCCACATCTATATGTAAGATCCTAACTTTCCTGGAATCCATTTCAAGGTTTGTCAGTGACTTCTTGCCTGGTACTACTCTTACAGAAGAACCTCAGTTGTTCTATGTAGTACGTACTCTTAAAAGGTTCATTCTATGGACTAGAGAGATGGATCAGTGGTTAAGAGCACTTGCTGTTCTTTCAGGGAGCTTGGGTTTAAATGCTAGCACCCATGTTGGAGAGCCCACACCTCCTGTAACTCCAGCTCCAGGGGATCTAAGGCCCTCTTCCAGCCTCCACAGGTATAGACATTCACGCACACAAATGCACATACAAACACATACATATACACACTATTAAAAGTTAAAAAAAAAAGAAAAAAGATTCATTACCATACCTAATTATTGGGATCACATTTTTCTCATGATAGAATATTTCTAGTGTGCTTTATGGATGAAAATTGTTGATCATGGTTTTAGGTCCATGGGAAAATTTAATTTGGATCACAAAACTACAATCAGGAACGTCTGGTTTTTCTTCTGTAAGTTGCAGCCCATTTCATGCAATATAGTTATGTTTGTAGCAGAACAGGGAGTATAAACTGACATGTGAGACCCGACCCACCACATAATATGAGAAGGAAGTATGGATGACAGTAACACCGTCTGATTATACATTTGAAACTTTCTCAAATTCGCAAAGACTTCACAGCACCCTGGCCAGGTAGATTTGGTATTGACAATTATATTTTCTAGGAAAGAGAAAATATGAGAAGGAAGACAACCACTCCCTCCAAGTTCACAGAGCCAATCAGCAACTGAACCAGGGCTCATAAAACCATGAGCACAACTCTGTTGCTAACAGAACAAGGTAGAGGAGCTGTGAGGCGGCGGCCATAGCAAACCACCATAGAACATGGCTAGCAGCCATCAGATGGCCATCGCAAATCACCACAGAATATGGCCAGCAGCCATCAGATGGCCATAGCAAACCATCACGGAACATGATCGGCAACCATCAGATGGCCATAACAAACCACCATAGAAGATGGCCAGCATCCATCAAATGACCATAGCAAACCACCACAGAATGTGGCCAACGTCCATCAGATGGCCATAGCAACCACCACAGAACACGGCCGGCAGTCATCAGAGAATGCGGGCTGATCGCGTACCACAGACTAACGCACAGCGTGAGCTCATTTCATTATCACAGAAGGGCTTGATGTGAGGCTCCTGTATTAGCCAGCTTTTGTGCACAATAACAAGATACCTGAGGATTCCTGAAGCAAATAACGTAGAAAGAGAAAAGGTTTATTTTTACCCATTATTTCACATGTTCTATGCCAAAATTCTGTGTCTTTTTTGCTTCCGGTCCTTGGCAAAGGCAGTATATCAGGGTAGGAAAACACGGCAGGTCCAACTTCTCTGCCCACCTCTTGAGCTGAAAGTGATGAGAGACTAGGGTCCTACAATCCTATTGAGGGTATGTCCTCAGTGACTTAGGGACCTTCTCCTGGCACTGTATCCTAAAGGGGCCAGTAGTACCACCCTGGGGACCGAAGTTTTACCAAATGGACCTTTGGGAGATTTACTACACCATAGCAGATGTTATCTTGTACTACAGCTCGGGGATTAGGAGAGAGCAAGGGCTGGCATCTTTCCTTGTGTCACAGTGTTTAGCTGGGGTATGATTGGGCCTCACGTCTGCCTTGCTTGATGACAGCAAAGTAGGTCTACAGAAGACTGGCAGCTTTTGGTTTTTAAATCCTCATGCCCTTACCCAGAAGTGATCTTCCCAATGGGACTTGCCTTGAAAACACCACTTAAAAGTATAGATCCCACCCACCCCTTGCCTATGCCGATTCTCTCACCTTACTCGACTGTAGGATTGCCAAGGTTTACTTGTATTAATGCCTGTTAAACTCCACAGGGCAATAACCATTTTAGGGTTGGTTTTTCTCCCTCTTACACATTGCTAATATTTACAAAGAGCTGTCCAATAGAACTTACTGTTACCATACTTAGTAGCTACTGAAGAAAAATAGCTAGTGTAAAGGACAGAACATTCCATTTTGCTTGTTATCACATTCGAACACAGACTTAGAACACTGCCCTCTGCCATAGAGTCTAATAAACTGGTTCTATGAATGAGATATTTGCATGTATACATGCATATTTATGTATACATGAGTGAGTCCACAGAAATCTTTGTGTACATGCGTTTAGAAGTCAGAGTCTGACTGTGGGTGCCTTCTTTAGCTAAAACCTTAGTTTTACTCTACACCTTAGTTTTTGAGACAGGGTCTCCTGCTGAACTAGAGTTGACATCTAGGTCATCAAGCCCCAGGGATCCGTCTATCTTTGTCTCTCTAGGGCCAGTATTACGGGCACTCATTCTACCCCTGACTTTTTTTTTTTTGAGGATTTCAGGTCCTCACGTTTATTGGTAAGATACTTTACCAACTGAGCAATCATCACAGTCCTATGAGATCTATTTTTTTGGGTGGAATACAAACGACTTTCACTAACAGCAATTTAAATACATTTTTAATAGAATTAATGACTATAGCTGTGCTGGCTAGTTTGATGTCAGCTTGACACAAGCTAGGGTCACTGGAGAGAAGGGAGCCTCAGTTGAGAAGATGCTGTCATAAGATCCAGCAATAGGCAAGCTGAGGGCATTTTCTTAATGAGTGATCAATGGAGGAGGGTCAGTTCATTGCAGGTGGGGTCACTCCAGGTTAGTGGTCCTGGGTTCCAGAAGAAAGCAAGGTGAGCAAGCCATGAGGGGCAAACTAGTAGGCAACACTCCTCCATGGCCTCTACATCAGCTCCTGTCTCCAGGTTCCTGCCCCGTCTGAGTCCCTGTCCCAACTTCCATTAATGATGAACAGTGAGGGACAAGGAAGCATAAGACTAAATAAATCCTTTCTTCCACAAGTTTCTTTGGTCATGGTGTTTCATCACAGCAACAGTAACCCTAACTAACACAAACAATAGCTCAGAATAACATTTAAAAATTCAGAAGATAAAACCAAAACAGCAGGCCTAGGTTTTTTAAAACTAACTGGATCCTTTTGCCATTCAAGCTTAGGTTATCTTTCCGGGAAAGAGCAGCAGCCAGCAGGATGAGGGAATTCCCATATGTCTGTGATTACAATGATGATCGCACAGTACCTTTTTGACTTTGTTCTTCTTCTCATAGCTCTCCGACAGGGGTTTTTTCTTCTGTTGAGTTGTGTCTTTGGAGAATAAATATTCAAACTCACTGGTGTCCCTGATGTGAGGTTCTTCTAAGGAGTCCCATAAAGTTGGTGTGGCATCTTGGCTTGAAAGAGAAAGCATCAAGTTAACTGTAGGAAGAGGGAATAGTACAAGATGATGACATCTTTCTCTAATGCATTTTTAAAAATATTTATTTATTATGTATACAATATTCTGTCTGTGTGTATGTCTGCAGGCCAGAAGAGGGCACCAGACCTCATTGCAGATGGTTGTGAGCCACCATGTGGTTGTCGGGAATTGAACTCAGGACCTTTGGAAGAGCAGGCAATGCTCTTAACCACTGAGCCATCTCTCCAGCCCTCTAATGCATTTTTTTAACAAATGTAAAACCCTGGTAATGCTTGGATAAAAGCTTCTCATGTCACACATTTTAGGAGTCAAAATATTCATGCAAACACACAAAAACTATAATGGTCGTTAGTTCAGTACAAGAGCTCTGGAGGCTCTTCGGACTAGAATTTCTGCGGTGATGTTTGGGGCCATGCAAACCGCTCCTCTCTCAGCTGTGGCATGTCAAGAAGGCAAAAATAGCATCAACGGGAGGCAGAAGGGATAATCAGTTCTATACACGGGCAAGGACATTCTTAAGAATGTATTATAGTTTACTTATTCATCATGTGCACACACACGTATAGGAGAGATATACGTGTGGGAAAAAGATACGCCGGTCATGGCATGCATGTGCAGGTCAGAGGGCAATTTCGGTGCTTTTCTTCCACCACCTGGGACCCTGCAATCAAATTCAAGTCATCAGTAGGCAAGCATCCTACTTGACAGAGCCATTCCACAGGTCCAAAGTCATTCTTCAGAGGACTGGAAATGGAACGGGAAGGTAAAGATGTGCCCACCCCCTTGGGATTTTAAAGACAGTTTTCAGGATTGAATCAGGTCATTTTGGTTCAAAGGCTTTAATAAATGACCAGTCAGCTGCTCCTCTGCCTCACAAAACCATGACATTTTGTCGTGCATCAGTCCCCCTTTCCCCATGGGATTCCAACTAAAGCATCCATGGGAATTTGTATTTTATTTTCCAGAAACAGTCTGTTATAAAGCAGTGGACAAGCAGCTGCCAGAAATCAAGTATATCAGAACCACCTCTAAGAGCTGGCATATGCCTTCTGCACACTGGTGGAACTGAAATGCTTTTTCAAGTTACTATTAATGCCAGAAAGAAAGAAAAGGTAAATTTCTTCTATGTTAATTTTTCAAATACGTGAGCATGGCATGAATGATCCATAACACCCCATAGTATTTACCTTTGTTTCAATATATATTTTTGTTTCAATTAAAACTAAAAATAAAGTTTATATAACATACTATATAGTCTACTTCACATAGAATAAACATATATGTTACATTATTAAATGATTTGGTACCAAATCCTGATTTTCATACTCAAAGCAGTTGGGCTCAGAGGTATAAAATTTTTAATGAGGGACTCATGAAAAAAGAACCTGAATGTGTCACATTGGCAGAGAGGGGCCATGCTGTGGTCTTAACACATCACAGAGGACACAAGGCCAGCACATCCTTCAAGTCAGCCACTGCTAATGTCCTGGTCATCTATTTTTCATTTCATCTGAAAGCGAAGCACTGGATTTATGGTGTTTGCAGAACCTGTCCAGCCCACATAACTAATGTAAGCTTGAGGGTTTGACTGTTTTCATTAAAAAAAAAAATGGAGAAAATGACAAGAGAAAAAAAAAATCAATGGTTTTCCCCCCAATTCTCATTTACTCTTCCTTGAACAGTGGATGAAGGGCCCGTCCTCCCAGCATGAGGTTTTATGATGTTAGGCCTATGGCTTTGGTTGCTCATGACGTCTCTTAGGGGATGAAGTGAAGGCATGCAAGTGAGAAACAGGTGTGAGCCAGTTCCATGTGCGGTCAGAATAAGCTAGTCCGGGGCTCACAGGTGGGATTCATCACTGGCGAGAGACTGCAATGAGCTGAGAGCACTAATAAAGAAACACAACTCAACTATTCTGGGAAATCATCTCTTAGGAAATATCTAAATCTCGAATGAGAAATGGCAAGCTAGCACATTAGTGTTAGTGTTGGGGACTATTTTAGGATCATCTTCTTTTTTTTAACCCATTCATTTGGGAAATTATAAAACACTTTTAACAGCAATAAATAAATACATCTAGAAATTTCCACAAGTAAACTCTTGACCCTTAGTTTTTGGCAGGAGGACTTGGGACAATATGAAATACATCATCAACTCTGTTCATCAAATGCCTGGGTTGGTGGTATTTCCCCTGCTCTTACAGTGGTTTCCAATTTTTTTTTTTTATAATTGTGAACTATATGTTTAGTTGTCTTGCCTTCCTTGAGAAGAATTTTACAAAAGCTTGAAAATTCAGTACCACCATTTTGAGTTGGGGAATAAATAGAATTCAAAGTGGGGAGTGGAGTTATATTTTAAGACTCTCTTCTGATCTAACCAATGAATAACTCAACCATCTCAGTATTTTTACCAGAAAATGAAAAGCATACCTGTAACTGCTAAATAACCAGATTCAACTGAAGCCCCTGCAGATTAGTGATGCTTTGAAAGTATCTGCAGGAACCTTTTCAAAGAGAATTAACCAAGGGTGAGAAGATCAGCCCTGAATATGAGTATATTATCCCACAGGCTCATTGCCCAGATGGAATAAAGGAGAAGGTTTCTGGTGTGTTCTGTTTCTCTCCTTCCTGCCCAGGAGAGGAGCTACCCTGCTGTGCTACACCCTCACTGGCATGATAGACTGGAATCTCTGAGACCATAAGTCAAAATAAATTCTTTCACATTTTTCTCAGGTATTTGTCACAGTGATAGAAAAAAAATGACCGACACCAGATGACAAGTCTGGTTATCAAAAACTAAGAAAGGATATCATAAAAGATATTGTCGTAACCCTCAGTGATTAACAGCGCAGAGAGACTGCTCCAATTTCTTTATAAGAACTCAACTAATACAGTGGTATTAGAGATGGCCCTCGCCTAGACCTGGACTCTTCTGTCCATGAAATGGAACACTTACCTTGATGAAGACATACTGAACACATCCTCCCAGCAGAGTTTGCGAAGACTATCCACCCCCCTCCCCCGACACTCTAAGCTTGCGTACTCAAGGCATTCAACAGATTAAGTTTAAGAATGGGTGCTTCCCAATGTAAATATTGAACTGTTCTTAATTAAACAGCACTTGGGAAAAATCCCATGAGTTTGCAACCAAGAATGGGTCAAGGGTGAGTTTACCTCTTATCACTGATTTGTATCCTAGTCCAATACAAAGGCTTCATGGGACAGCTGGGCTCAATGGCTGGTTTACGCGGACACTGGCTAGAAGAAGAGCTGAGTCCAAAGGAGAGTCCAGGAGGAGGTGGGGGTGCAAGTCCTGGGGGAGGAGGAGGAGGTGGAGGAGGAGGAGGAAGCCCCCCACTGTTAGGGAGAGCCAGCACATTAGGAAGTGGTGGTGGGGGAGGAGGTGGGGGAGGTCCAGCACTTGGAGGCAAGGGAGGTGGTGGAGGAGGTGGAGGAGGTGGTGGTGGTGGCCCAGTGCTCATGGGTGATATGGGTGGTGCTGGTGGCAAAGGTCCGAGTTCAGTGGGGAGAGGGGGAGGGGGAGGGATGGGAGGGGGAAGAAGAGGAGGTGTGGAGGGAGGAGGTGATTTCTTCTGTTGACTAGACAAGATGCCCTCCTCTGTCTGAAGAGGTGCATGGTTGTCTTTGCTGTCTTTTGTGGGCGAGAGCTGGGTTAACGAGATATTCAACTTCTTGGGTACTATCTGGTTATTTCTGGTTGCCTTGTTTTCACCTTCACAGGGCTTCAGGAACGTCTCTCTGTCTGTCTGGATGCACACATTTCTGAAGGCCTTTGGGGGGCAGTCATCATCAGTGGAGATGCAGGCGTCTCTCATCTCTTCACATCCTCCTCCCCAGTGGTGGTTTAACTGTTGCTTGAGATTTTCAATGGTTTCTTCAAGTCTTGCTGTTATTAATGCATGCTCACCCCGCATGTGAAATGTCTTGAGTTCAAATTGAGCCTGCGAGGGGAAAAAATAATCAATCAGAAAGTAAGAATTTAATGATAGCTAATGTCCACTAGGCATTCAACAGTACCATGAATGTGTGAATGTCCTTTTTAAAGCAGTGGTTCTCAACTTTCCTGATGCTGTGACCCTTTAATAAAGTTCCTCATGTTGTAGTGATGCCCAACAATAAAATTATTTTTGTTACAACTTCATAACTGTAATTTTGCTACTGTTATGAATTGCAATGTAAATACTTTTGGAGATAGAGGTTTGTCAAAGGGATAGTGACCCACAGGTTGAAAACCACCGTCTTAAAGACTGGCCTGTGTGATGCAAAGAAATGGAGACACTTGTTCAAGAATCCAAAAGGGTACAAATCTTTGTTTCAGAATTTTCCAGACAACTAAGTATCTAGGAGCTCTTGGAAAACTTCATCCTGTCTGAGGTTATGGGAGATAACTGTCATGAGTTAAAGTTTAGAGCAAATCTTCTACTTAAGAATTTTCACTCAATTTTAATATCGAATGCAGAAGAAATTAATTTGATAGCGGTTTGGACATGCTTGAATGTATCTTTTATAGCCTTTGGTGTGGATTGAGAAAAAGAAAAACATGCGGGGTAGGGGAGGCCATCCAGAGCTTGTGCTGGTGTAGGGCTGCTGTTCTCTGTGTTCCTTAGAGAGCCTTTCCCCATCAGCTTTCCACAACACTGCAGCAGAAACAGGAGGTGTGGGGACGAGCGATGGTACTTTTTATTGTTTGTTTCTTTAAGTTTCCAGATAAAAGCTGACCAGTGTGGTTGTTTGGGTCTATTTCTCCCTGCTGGCCCTCATCCAGATAATTAACTCCACTGGATGACATCAGAGGACACTGGATGACATCTCTATTTCTGGACCCCAGCAGTGAGCACGGCATTGGAAAGGAAGATAGATAAAATGGCGGAAACAGTCAGACACACACTCTCTGTCTCAAGGGCCTTGCTTAATGGCTAATCAAGTCTTTCTTTGCTGTAACCTCAGCCCACAGATATCTAGCAAAACAGCTAGATACAAGGGTATAATCCTCTACATTAAATTGTTAAAGAAATGCGTTTAATGATCTAGTCAGCAAGGCTAAATAAAACGGGAAGCCATCTGCCTTCACTGAGATACATTTTACCTATTATTTTTAACTAGGTTCAAATATTTCCCAATATTGATTCTGACAAATCAATCCCCAAGTAGCAGGAGAAATTAGAGACAAAAGTTTCTGACGGATAATCTTCCCATTCTTAAACATGGCAGCCCCTGGGGAAACTCTAAAGGAAGTGGAGGGAGCACTAGAACGTGCAGCAGGGTGGATGGGTTAAGAACCTGGGCCTGGATTCACCTATCTATCCCAGGTCTAAACTTTGCTGCTCTCTAGGTCTGTGCTTTAGCCTAGCTGTTTCTTCATTTGTGAAGGAGGGGTAACAGTGAGACATTTCTGGTCTTGTTTTGTTTTGTTTTGTTTTTGTTTTTGTTTTTAAAGATAAAATGAGATGATTCATGTAAATCAGGTCTTAATAGTGATGACATTACAATAAGAGCATCGGAAATAATTATTTTTGTAAATTTTCCGTTAACACTTTGGATGAACGAAGGCATAAAAGTAGGAAAAGCAGAAGTCATCAATATGAGCAAATATACTACAAATACAAAAGGATGTCCGATTTTCATGTGTTCTACTACCAAGTACCTGCAAACAACTCGGAGCTTCATCCAGTTGTGTAGCTAAGGTTACCTTTGTTTCAGCATCATTCCAGACCCATCACTTCTCTCTCCATCTCTCCTACACCCTATTGCAATTTTTACTTGGAATTACACACCAACATTTGGTTTTAATTTCTGTGACTACTTTAGTTTTGTCACAAAAAAAATAACTTCCTCGCTAAACCCATTTTCAAGACAAGTTTTTGTATTGTGTGTATTGACAAGTATTACTGAGTTGATCAGTACTGACAAGTCAAGACACGACTTAACACTCAGCCTCTTACAGATACGAAATAACTGCAGAGACACGCGTTCCCTAAAGAAATTCTCTTCCAATAAGGTAACTGAGCAGCATCTATACTTGTAGGCCCATTTCACCTCTGATGATATATGCTCTTAGGCATTGTTTTGGAAGCTGAGTTTAATGCGTGAGCTTGCTGAAGTAGGCGGAAGACCAATTGGGCAGGTTAATGTCTCTCTACCATAGTTTCCCTTTAAGAAAACTATGATGGGCAGATGAGTTCCTATTTGTAAACCCAGGTGTTAAGGAGCATTAAGAACGAAGTACTGTGTAAGTCAACTGCTACTGCTGTTGCCTTTTGCAATGCCAGACACACCGGAGAGCAGTGACCACCTCTGTGCATTGTGATCTCGCCAGGCATGATTCCTGGTGCAATAGTCTATCTATCCTGCTCCATGCTTCAAAAGTATCTTTTAAATTCCCCAGCTGTCAGGTTTCTCTTCCCCCTCTTTTTCTTCACAGCAGAGCTTTTGGGAGTAAAAAACAAGAACGGAACATAAAAATGTCACCCAGTGTTTGCTGTGTCCGCTTTCTCATCTGCTTACTTGGAGCCAAATTACAGCTGGCGTCTGTCCACCATTCTATGAGAACTTATGGGATTTAGTCGGCATTTTTCAGTGGATTTCCCCTGTCCTCTCTATTTGTGCCGACTGCAGCTGGTGCCTTGAAATTGAACTTCACTGGAATCCTAATTCCACACCGCACTCCTCCTATCCAGGTATTTTTTTTTTCTCCTACCTCTCTGCCCTCTCCAGTCAGCCCTGAAGTCCTCTCCCCTTTATTCCTCAGACGTTGATCGGCGAGGCATGTGTTTGCCATTCTTTTTCTCACATTGCATTCTCTCTGTACAATGTTTTCTGTATTCAAGCAATAGATGAGATTCACTCAGTGATATGTTGCTTCTTCTAAATTGGTGCCTTCAGACTGTGATTCCAACTGTCCTTCAGATTAATATACCTGCATATTTAATCAACTACCAGAGATTCCACTAGTCTGAAACAGAGCTCATTCGTGGCAAACTCCAGTTTCTCCTCTGGAATTCCTCTTAAGTCATCTGGCATCGTCTGTGCACTGTGTGGGCTCCTTGTTCTACTCAGTTTCTGATTTAGCCCTTTGTCTTCATCCATGTCACCCAAGCCTTTCACTGGGCCATTTTTTTCTTCTTTTTAAAATTCAGAACAATGGTTAAAATCTACCTGATTTTATTTGCTTGTTTTAAACTTCAATTTAACCAACTCTGATTCCAGGAAAATTTTTCTTAAAAAAAAAATTTCATTTGTTTTATTCCTTAAGACCCCTTCCACACTTAGTTATTACTTACAGACTTGAATGAAAAAATTACCCCAGGTCACTCCACTGATTGCTTTTCTGCCTTTTGTGCACTTTGGGCCCTTGCCCCTTGCTGAGATGGGCCATGGACTCCAGGCTTATACATCTCCGTACCTCTCCCAGGATCATGCTCTTTCATGAAATATTGTCTTCTCTGGACTCCTTTTCTTTGCAACAAACATCCAAGGAAAGATTACCAAGAGTAGATTAACCAGTGTAGATTCCATAAGTATGTTCTATATAAGTTGTACTCACTGGCATGGGGGATGGATGAATAAGAAGGCAAGCGATGAAGTCCCAGGCACTCCACACCAACATGCTGAGGTCATGACGAGAAATCCTACCGATCACTAAGATTTAATGCCCACCTGCTCCCTTACCCAGAAGCAAAACTGAACCTATGCCCATCACCATTCAATAACCTCTTTGTCCTGGTAGAAAGCCCCTCCTTCGGCCCATCAATTTCCTACTAAATTATTTCTGACGTGTCTGGTTGTATTATTCACCATGCACCTCAGGTACATGCACGCCAGAAAACGCATTGTTTGGAAAGCTGTCTTTAGCTCTGTCTCTCCCCTTTTCACTACATCTCCGCATGTCCTGCTTTCCCTTCTTTGTCTAAGCTCAGCTCTAGAGAGAGAGAGAAGTGATTTCGTGACTGGGGCTCTGAGCAGAACTTTGCTTGATAATCACATACTTGCTCTAAGATGACCTTTCTCTAGGATCCTGGTTCTCTGTATGAACCAGCAAGTCCAGACCTCAGAACCCCCAGCTACAAATAAAGCTAAGTGAATGGAACATAGTGCCTCTCTGACTCGGGCACTCTCCTTTACTTGAACAGTGAACACGCAGAGTCTGTTAATCCAAACCTAGCCCCTTCAAACTCACCACCACCAACAAGGCAATTCCATGGAAATCATGCTGCTTGCTTTCTTCGACATTATTTCTGTTGGTTCAAGGAATGGTTCTCAAACCTGCTCCACATCAGAGCCCTCTGGAGAACACTGTAGAAGGTACTGATCAGGCCCAATCCTGCAGACTTTCCTTGGGTCAGCGCTACTAAAACTCACTAAGAGGTTTTGTTAGGAGCCAGAGCAGAAGCTAACAACAGCTCTTGTTCATCTTTATTCTGATTGACCACAGCTGCTGAGATAATGACACCAGGGTACCAGTGCCTTCTTCTGGCCTTTCCTAACAGCTATGTCCCAGCAAAGAGGGCATTTTTTCATTGTTCACATTGAAAGAATAGTATTTTTACACAGCAGGCACTAACTTCTTCACATGGTAGTCGTTATTCATGCAAACTTGATCTCTGCCTTTTTCAAACACTTACCGATGCAATTCCCAAGTTGCACTTGAATGCATGATCAGTCTCACCTGATCACTTGCTTACCTGCTACCCCATCAACACCTTCAATCTCTTATTTCCACTCATTGAAAGTCCTAGGAAAAACTCACTCAAGCTCAGCTGAACTTTCCTTGGTTCCTCTAGACACAACTTTTCCATTGTCTGTATTGCCAAAGAACTTTCTAGGTTCAAACTGTATGATAGTCATTTCTGTTTATCTTCCTGGAAAATCTAAAGACTCCAGGCAGTTGGGAACCACGCCTTATGCATGTTTAAACTTCCAGAACATTACGTAGCATTTGGCT